CTGGAGAAAAGGAGGCTACGGGGAGACCTGATTGCGGCCTTCCAGTACCTAAAGGGGGCCTATAGGAAAGATGGGGAACGTCTTTTTCATAGGGCCAGCTGTGTTAGAACAAGGGGGAATGGTTTTAAACTAGAACAGGGTAGGTTCAGGCTAGAGGTAAGGAAGAAATTTTTTACAATGAGGGTGGTAAAACACTGGAACAGGTTGCCCAGAGAGGTAGTGGAGGCCCCCTCCCTGGAAACATTCAAGGCCAGGTTGGATGGGGCTCTGAGCAATCTGATCTAGTTAGCAGTGTCCCTGCTCACTGCAGGGGGGTTGGACTAGATGACCACTAGTGGTCCCTTCCAACCCTAAACATTCTATGATTCTATGATTCTATCACTCACTATTCCTGTCTATAAGGCCTCGTAACATACTTATCAGTTATTCACTCTCCATACACCACATCTTCCTGTAACCTTCAGAGTGTGAATTCAGTTATTTACATATGGATGCCACTAGTTCAAGGTTTCCGTGAGGAACAGAAAAGGCTGGAAATCCCGCAGTGGCTACGAGGCAGACTTAGCCGGTCACCTTTGCCAAGGCGAGAATTCAGTTTACTGAATTCACCGTAACCGGTAGGTTAAGTTCGTTATTAGGGGGCACACGATTTGTTACTGCAGAGGACAAAATCTTTCTCATCTTACGTTTTGGACTGAGAGTGTCTGACGGCAGACATCACAGTGGCTCCATCAAAAGCGTTAACTTGTGTATTGTATTATCAACTACACTTTTATAATAACGTGGCACTGCTGTAACAGTATCAACAACGCCGAGATGACACACGCTGCATCTGAAATATTCCTTTTTCAAAACAACCTCTCTTCATATTTTCCTAGGCACAAGAAACAAAATAATTGTTCTTGTTCACAGAGGATAAAATAATTTTCCTTCAGATCTTCTTTTACCCAGGGGAAATCTCTTTTTCCACCCAACTAAAGAGGTAATCTATTTTCTTTATCCTTCCACCCCAGTCCAGAAGCTGTGTCAACATGGTTAACTGGATACCTGATAAAGCTGACAGAAATGTGCATCTCCGACGGCGCAGTTAGGAATATGGTGTCAGTGGAAGTGACCCGTACCGACTCACTGACATTACAGCATCTTTGGGAATGGCTATTACGATGCCGATAGATGTGGCTAATGCCGATACAAAGCAATCCATGAAACAACCTTTCACAACCACTCTAGGAGAGAACTAGAGCGTAGACGCAGGAAGCGTCTGAAATTTTGCAGGGCTATCATGCAAGGTGCAACACATTTTTTTAGCAATTTGTGGGACTGTATCTGCTGTGCAATTACACCGCGCAATATAGGGGCTAGGATTTATATCCAAACGTAATGGCCAATTACACTCTAAGTATTCTGCAGGTAGACCATTTTATGAACTAGGATAGCATGAGGCACCACTTTTGAGTGTAATTAATCTTAATTAATTTCCTCATATTTAATATTAGTCTATCTGCGTATTTAAAAACCTATCTCACACACCCCCATCATACTGCCTGAACATCTCCTAGTGATTTAAAATGAAAAATGACTATACCAATTATTGCATGTTTAGCTGCAGTAATGATTCTTAAATTAGTAATTTCCCAAGATATGCTAATGTAGCGACTGGCTTCTCATGGTTTTGGGGGGTTCAGTCCACACATAAATTTGCATGGATTTAACTTTAAACAAATGACCCTGACTTCGTGTCCAAAAAAGACATTAGTTTAATGCCGCTTTGCACTGGTTTGGCTGATCTAGCAAGGGCAGGTTCCACCAAAGGAAAGCAGACACAAAGCCAGCATCTCCCTACACAAATGGGTGCCCCATCAGGGTGAGATTGAGCCTCACACCCTTAGTTAAGCCCGAGCACCTCTGTGCAGCCAGCTCCTGCTGGCCCAGGGAGCCAGTCCAAACTGTGAACTGGGCTCTGATTTGAACAAAGATCCCGGTCTTCTCGAAGCTGCGGGTCCCCTCTTGAACCCGGCAGTTCTGGCAGAGTTTTGCTTTGAGCTTGCGAACCCAGAGAAAGCTCAAGATGTTTTATGCTTACGTGGTAGGAAGCTCTTTCTTCTCTGTCCATCGGGCGAGTCACATACATCCTGCCAGACACAGGGTCAATGCTGAAGACTTCCATCGGTGGCTGGTCGGCTCCAACTCCAGTGATGCTGTATCTGATATGGATCTCTTTGTCCTTATCGGAACGAATCTGGACGAAATGACAAAGACAGCAATCAATAAGTTTTGGACAAAAGCCATATGGATGTTTAAACAACTTTAAAGATCTGAGCCTGAAAGCTGCATAAATGTAATACCGCTGTCAATTTTGACAAGGGAGCTGTATGCCAAAGGTTTGGGGAAAAGCCAGGAAAAGTGTATTCCACATATTTTCAGCTATTTTTCTCCTCTCCTATTCATGATGATTCTCTAGGAAACATTGAAATTTTGACTTTTTACCTTAGATGTAGAAGAACCTACGTGCACAAAAAAACGCTGCTTATGTGTTACCGAAACCGCAGGCTCCTTGAAGTGTCCAAACTGTTCAGCCATACCCGGAGTCTCCCAGCCATTAATCACTTCCAAAAACGTTGTCGGCAAGCTCCCACATCATGTTTTCAGTCCTTTTGACTGTGCACACAAATACTCCCCAGAAATTTGAAGAACGGGGCTCTTTGTCCAACCCTGCTGGCTTGACAAGGCAAGCCTGGGGATGCCCGGTGGGATGTCACCATTTCATTTGACTGTTGGTGGAGGGAATGAGTGCTTGGCACATTGCTCTTGAAACCCCTTCCCTCCCATACCTTGAGAACTACACCACAAACTGAATACGGCATGTCAAAGTATATGAACCTTGGATACACAGCCGAGAAAATAAAAAAAGCAAGGTTAATATGTTGTCCTAGCAACCCTGACTATCTCTTTAAACCTAAATTTAATTTTCTGATCAAATGCTGAAAGGAATTCTTGCAACAGCATGACTATTCCCGAAAGAAAGTGCAAGGTACAAATAAATTACCGCCCCCCGCACCATCACAAACTGTCTTGGCAGTGTAAAAGCGACATGCATAAATTTTTCTCTAACAGGTCTATGAATACAACCAAGTAGTGGGAAGATAATAGGAATCTCGTAGCTGAGTGCAAGGTAGCATCTCTGCTACGGCAGCTGCACACTCGGAGGAGCCCGAGTGGGCTCAGTGGGATGCAGGAGGCCCCGTGCGTGCCCCCCCTCCACCCCAAAAGCCCCCATTTGGGGAGTGAAGGTTGTTTCCCAAGGGAAGAGGAGGCTTCGCTTGTCAGGCAAAGGAATTGGGACGGGGCCGTGGGCTGCTCTCGCGCTCCTCCCGCCTGTGACCTACTGCTATTTCTTCCTCTCCAGACGCGGGAGGCTGACAAGATGCTGAGCCCGTCGGTGCAGAAGAATATCAGATCCCCTGGCTCCGAGAATCTCCTTTGATGCCTTTGTCCAGATCGTTACCAAGTTTGTACACTGTTTTCTTTGTACTGCCTCTGCCAAACAGCCTGCTCCCGTTAACGGCTAATAATGTCAGTTATTACTCGAGACTGCCAGGATTGATTCGTGCTGCACCTACACTTCTGGAGCTGAAGGTCAGGGAGTAGAGACAGTTTCATCTGTCTTTTCTCTACAGGATTCACTGCTTGTTTAGGCTATTAGTACCAAGGAAAACTCATTGGGCTTACACTGGTATAATCACTTAGAAGAGGTACCGGGGACATTGTGAAAGTGCCCTCGTGCTGCACGCCAGGGTTTATACGGGTTTTTGTGTGCCCAGTGGGTATTTGTGATAGGGACCCAGCTAGACAGGTATGACTCCAGTTTCATTACCAGATCTGTGGGTGAAAGAAAGTATATTAAAACCAAGCTTTTGCTCGCACAACTGTGGTTTTAAATGACAGCAACCAACTCAACAGTTCAATAACTGAAGTCCACAGACCCCATTTTTAGAAAGTCAGCTTTCACCTTGCCAGACGGAAAGGGCTGAAAAAATCAAATTTATGTGAATGTCTGTGCGAATGTATAGCTCAGGTCAGGGAGTTCAAGCTCTAACCCATTACCTACGTGTTTGTAGCTAGGCTCAAGGCAAGTGAAAACGTAGGAAGCCACCGCTGGACCTCCAGCTTTGAGTCAGTGTGGGGTTCCCATCTTAATAAGTTAAAAAGAAAGGGAAAAAACCAGTAACTCGGGGGACACAGTTACATGTCTGTCTCTATCAACGTGTGCCTGCACAGCTCCGAAGGACCTGTAGTGGAGGGCCCATCCCTGGAAACATTCAAGACCAGGTTGGACAGAGCTCTGAGCAACCTGATCTGGTTAAGGGTGTCCCTGCTCCCTGCAGGGGCGTTGGACTGGGTGACCTCTAGGGGTCCCTTCCAACGCAAAACATTCTATGATTCTATGCACATGTCAGGATAAAACTAGCCCTTCACCCTTAACAAAGTTTTTCGTTAACAAAGATGGAAGGAAAAACCCCAAACCCAAGGTATCTGCACTTTTGCTGCCTTTTGCTCACCGAAGCACGGGAGCCCGGAGGGTGTTCCCGGCCCCAGCCTGGCTCAACTGTGGCTGTGACTTGAGCACAAGCACCAAACAGCAAACCAGTCTCCCTCCAACGAAGGAAAATGGAAGCAATTTTAACCTGGATCAGGGAAGGGGAGAGTCTGTTAGTTCTTCGTGGACTTTTTTCTGCTCTATTTCCTGTTGCATATAGTACCCAGATCCCATTGAGATAGAAGCATTAGAAATGCATAGAGAGAGACAGAAACAGGGAAAAGGAGGCTGGATTTAAATATTCAGTGCTGAAGGCACTACATTTTATTTTCAGGAAACGCAGATAAACAGAAGCTCTCTAAGAAAGCTATGTACAGTTTAATAAAGTGCATGCTATAGGATGTCCTTGCAGCATTTTTATTAGCATTAATAGGGTCTAAGCTGTCTGTATGTAAATCATTGCAGATCTAGGAGATGAAATATATCATAAGACCCATACAACTTACCCAATTACACTACGAAAAATCCATGAGATAATTATACTGCAGTGAGCAAAACAAAGATGGGGGAAATACCGGTTGCAAATATTCAGCAATGATTCATTATTTGTTGTTAATTGCCCTCATACTACAATGGTTTGCCTGTTACCTGCACTTCATTCCATTTCCAGTAAGAATCCAAGGTTGTAAAGCGTTCAGAAAAATCACCTAAGTAGTTGCACTTGTCTCAGAAGTTGCAAAGACCATCGGCATCGAAGCGCAGTATGTATTACTACCAGGGAGATATTCATCGCACAAAGGCACATGCTTTTTATATTAGAACATGTAATTTTAGCACTCTTAATGAGATTTTGAAAAAAAAAAAAAAAAAAAGAATTTTTTTTTTTTTACAGTAATCCTGTAACATTTTGACCAAAGGTTTCATTTGCATAATTCCCAGGGTGCAATTTAGTAAATCTTGTTGAGAACTTAAGAACATTATCTGAATACAATGCAAGGTTTACTTCTTTTGTTGAAACCATTCCTGGAACAGTTTACCATAATAATAATACTACTACTACTAATGATGATGATGATTAAAAAAACCTCTATTCCCAGGAGCTCAGTAGATCAGGAGAAAAAATTCCAGGTTGGGGGAATTTACTGGGTCAGGAGAGAGTTGCTTTTTCATTCATTTATGCCTGGGAAGTGAGAAGATGGTAACACATCCGTATGATAATCTTCTGACTGGGGAACATACACACGATTTTTTTTCCATTTAGTTTTCCTTTTATAATGCAGTCAAGAGTTATGTAGGGTTCTGGGTTACAGAACAGATGGCAGAAGGATAGTTTGCCTTAGCTGCATTTATACATTTTTTGCTCGGAGAACCCTTGGAGCTTTGAGCTTCTCCAGCGCCAGGCATGGTACAACCCTGCGTATGATGATGTGAGCAAGATGGATGATGATGGTTGATGACTGCCATAAGAGGAATTTCCTTGTAAAGCAGCTTTTATTCTCTAATAAAACCCTTGGGGATGGAATTTAGATTGGATTGTTACACTGGTGAGGGAGAATGCCCCAGACAGAAAGGCCATTTATGGTGTAAGATGTGATCCCCTGAGCCTATCCCAGCTCATGAACACAGGTGAAATTTTCCATGCAGGAACCCTGGGATGCTGAGTATCCTCACCTACGCTGACAGATACAAATGAACCATCTGGCAACTCTGGGACCAGCCACCAAATCCACAGAGGGAACGTGCAGCGGAGCCAGGCACTGAACTTGCATCACCAGACCTTCGCTTGGCTGCAGCAAGCAAGGGCACAGCAGCCTCACAGCCCAACGGCAAAGCGGGGGGCCGCGGGGGGGCCTGAGCCTAAAGCATGGATGCACCATCCCAAACAGAGCACAAGGGCTGCAGTCAGTGTTTGCAACTCAGAACCAGAACGCCAAGAGCTTGACTCAGCTCTCATTTCTGTAGAGTAACCCCAGGAACAGAAGTTGGTGCGATTTCACAGATGGGCATTTTCCACTGCAGATTCTGATGTAGTAACTAAACTGTGTGAAAATTAACATTGCAACTCTTGAGGTAATGCAGGGCTAAGCCCTTCCGAGATGGCTTTCTCCTTTGTAGCAATCTCACATTTAGATGGGCTTGAAAAGCAGCCTGTGACACGGGATCGCATCAGGCTTTTACAGATAAAACCTTAGGGTTCATGCATCTCCATCAGGAGTAACTGGGTAGCTGAACTGTTCCCCCAGGTTTTACTGATAAGCAACATTTCAACCGATGAGCTCCTCTGAGGTACCAGATTTTATCACTCTCTTTTGCTCCCGTCGAGCCATATCCTTGTGTTCTTAGCACTTCCACTGCTCACTGCAGGGTTCTGAATTCACAAGCCCTCTCACCCTAGCAGACGACAAGAACAACCACAGACCCCATACCTCTTCTGTGCCAGGAGCAGAGGCAATGCAACTATGGAAAACTGTATGGTCAGCCGATTGGAGGACACCTGAGAGTCCATAAATTACACAGTTTTTGGAGCATGACTTTGCCAGAAAAAAGTGGCCCAATGGAGGTTGCTCAGGTATTAGTGAAGGAAATGCTTGGAAGCCTAGAAAATCGGGTGTGTAGGGCAAGGCTGAACAAAGGACAACTGAGCCTATGGAAGAGAAGCAGGCAAACTGTATGTAGAGGATTTCACCGAGCCGTACGTGGTC